ATAACATCTGGTTTCTTTTCTTCAATGGCCAGATCTAGCCCTTGTTGAAAAAGGACATCTAGATTATTTAATAGCTGACGACACAAATCAAGATTATATCCTTTATGGTGTGGAAGATTAGACTAAGCTGCAACCACAGAGCATACTCAGACAGAACCTTGACTCAGTTACCAAGATAAATCTTTTCTGATGTGGAAGATCAGACTATGCAACAACCACAGAGCATACTTAGACAGTACCTTGGCTCTGATACCAATTGTTGCGGAAGCAAAATGTATATAGTGTGAATAAGTCACAACTACTATACCAAAAATTATGACAGCCACCAAATAATAAATAAGACAATAAAACAACAATAAAGGGAACACCAGAATTTACGAGGTTCGGCTAATTTTGCCTACTCCTCGGACACAACCAATATTTTATTTCACTCCAAAAATACAAGTGAAATAATACTAAAGAGAGAAGATACAAATGCCTTAAACAGATGAGAAGGCAAATGAGAGGTGTGTTTCAATCCTAAACATTAGGTCTTCTTTTATAGGGGAAAAATCCCCCCCAAACTTAACTCCCAACCAATGTGGGACTTTGGCATTTTGCCAAACTTCAACATTAATATCTTCTCTGCTTCTGGGAAGCTGACATTTGCAGTTTGCCGAGGACATATTATGAACAACACTGGATAATGAAAACGATGGATCAAGTACGTTGTATCAATTTCATGATCCATTAACTGTTTTAACAAGTATATATGTCGGGTGGAATCCAGCAACCAATCAACTTTTAACAAATTCGCAAGGAATAATGTAGGAACCATTTCAGCAGTCCAGTAAAAATTACATTAGAGCCAAGTAAAAGTTACAAACAACATAAAATTCAAGAAAATGTTACATGAAATAATAGGAATTTTAAAAAGGAATATATGGTATCCGGTTATGAAGAATTTTCCATAGATATTCTGCTTTCATTTCTCTAGTATGGAGCACTAGATTAATCTAATTCTCGTTAGTGAAGGCTGCATATTGGAAGAAAGTAATTTGTTTAACTCATGCATGGCTTCCTTGTTGATGATTAAGCTTCTTATCTTCCTGGATAGTTGCAGTAGCAGAGATGTAGTAGGAAACTGAGAAAAGTCCATGGATAAAGCACAATATCCCTCCTATCGACAAGAAACGATGGTGTGATATCCCACAAGATTTTCTCGCCTTCCCGTTTGACATTGTTCCAGCTACCAGCAATGCAAATGCAATGCCCATGATTATCCTAGTTTAAAAAAAAAAAAAAATTATATACAGCCATCAATTATAATAAATAAACAAAGATCAAGATATCATGCATGCATGAGCAGAGACGAATTTAGAATTTTAAGTTAGCAAATGTGGAGCATCTACTGTCACCATAATAGATCTATCATTGCTACCATGAGAACATGGTGGAATGGTTGAGATCTTTCCACTCTAATTAGAGTTCTCGGGTTTGAACCTCTAAGGAAAAGAGAATGTTCTGGACTTCCGGCATGCTTTTTGGGCAGTATCAAGGGGATTCAAAATATAATATATAGAGCTACAAACCAGATTTTGCCTTATATGTACAATGTAATTTTCCGGCAAACTTTCGCCCCCTAAATCCCCCGCTGCATGAGCGTTTTAACCACTCCCCTTAATGGGCCACTCTGGGATGTGAATCGGAATTAATCGGCCTTAAAAGCTTTCTAATATCAGATGGTTAAACAGAAAAAGGAAGGAGGATTTGGAGATTACCATTGGAATACAAATGAAGCAAAAGCAAGTTTCTTGTTAGAAGAGGCCTTATCTAACTCTTCCTGGGACTGGATGCAAATACAACCAGCAAGCAGATTAGAAATAACTTGTGCCAGAACCAAAAGTACAGTTGCAGCCAATCCTAGCTTAAAAGCTTCATAGCTTGGATCTCTACATTCAAAGATCCACACCTTTAATTCTGATACCCGTTCCAACAAATCAAGGACTTGCCGTTACTAAACAATATCAATACTCTGTACCTCAATTTCCTCATCTAGACGAAAAATTTACGTGAATCAATTATTCTTTTTGAGTTGTACATGCATGAATGAAAGAAAATTTACCTTATTTTGCTCTACCTCAGCTTGAATTCCAAGTATACCAGCTGCAACATCCAAAATCACAAGAAGAAGGCAAACAAGAATGCCAATGTTTTTAGCCATCTCTTTAACAATCTAGTTATTGCTTTCAGGTTAGAGATGGCTGATAATATTCATGGAAAAACAGGAGACACCCTTATATAAGGAGTTTGTAAAAATATAGAAATTCATGAATACAGAAAAAGATTGAGTCGAACGTGAGAATCTTAATAAAGGAGATGGATGCAAGAAACCTAATGCTGTATGATATATGAGTTAAGATTAGCTGGGATTATGGAGAAAAAGTCTTCCTTTGTCTTGAAAGACCTCCTTATTCTACTTTTGTTTCTTTTTTTGGCTCTTAAGATATTTTAATTTGGATTCCTTTCATGGGGAACAAGGAAAGTAGGGTATCCCCAGCAATTTAGACAGCTCAAAATTTTGTTATTCTTTAAAATTTGTTAAAGCCATGTATATATTCACTTGCATGTTACTGCAGCTTTCATCCAATCTTAGTCTTGAGATATATGGTTTATATCTTTAAGTGCAAAGTACATGTCCAGCAAGATGGATTCTTTCTGATGGTTAACAATTTATTTGCCTTGAGAATCGTGTTAATTTCAATAGCACATAACTCTATTTAACCTATATATATAGATATATATAGCATTAGACTGAGTATTGATCACCTCTTTATAACGACTGGGCTTGCTAGAATAGAAAGAAAGAGCAGGATTTCGAATTAGAATAAAGGCATATAAAGACATTTCTTTTCGTGCTTTTGATCTGCTTTGAATTTAAAAAAAAAAAATTAGATATGATTTAGATGAAATGAGTTGGGAAAAAAAAAAAAAGAAAACTTAAACTGATTCCAAGATGTATGATTCATATATAAACTGAAATTGCTACTCCTTTAATTATCAAATTTTTCTGCCTTTGTGTTTACTTCTTTCTTTTTCTTTTCCCCTTATTCAGATTATCTAAGACTTGAGTTTTCAAATATTCTAGTTTTGACATATAACTTTTTGGAAAATGAGTAAGAATTTTCATTAGTTAAAATCTATATTAAAAAAATATACATTGCTCAGTATTCACTGGATAGTTTAATACACAAATTTAACTGTAGAAAGAAGCAGTAGTTTATTAAGTAAATCATACATTTCAAATTTCTTTTGAACTAAGAAGCAAGAGTGGCACCACGTAGCAACTCTAAAGGGCTGCTATTTATAAATTAGTTAGTGCGTTCTGAATTACAGTTTTTCAGTTCAAAGTTTCAGCAAAAATATCCTGAATTGCCCTGAAGTCAAGATTTTTAATTTAAAATTTCAGATAAAATAAATAATGACTAATCTCTAAATAGTATCCCTAAGAATGACTATATGTGCACTTGCCCCAGTAACTTGGGGCATTTGCATCTATACCCGTTTTTTGGGTCACGTTTTAACTTGTATCCGCTTTGCAAAAAAAATTGCAAGCGTCTTCAGCATACGGGGTTGAAGTAGCAAAGGCAATCACGCAAAATTTCAGCATTCTAGTAGACAGGACTGAAGTAGCAAGTGTTTTTGTTTTGTAACTGGCGAACTTCAGCTCTAGAACTGAAGTTTTTGTTTTGTAACTGGCGAACTTCAGCTCTAGAACTGAAGTTTTTGTTTTGTAACTGGCGAACTTCAGCTCTAGAACTGAAGTTTTTATTTTGTAACTGGCGAAGTTTTTATTTGTAACTGGCGAACTTCAGCTCTTTTGTAACTGACGAACTTCAGCTCTAGAGCTAAAGTATTTCTGATTTGCTCTTGTCTCACACATGAAAATGCTAGTCTGGTTTCTTCTACAGAACTACTGTGTCGTAGAAGTATTATTTAAGTATTTATTGTTGTCGTAATATTTTATACAACACATTAATGACTGGAGACAGAAAGACAGGAAGGCTGCCTACCTTCCAGGCGTTCATGGTTTGAATTTTATTCATCATTTTGAGTGATTGATTGTTCATCCAAGCTCTTTCCTTGCAATATTTTACTCTTCTCCAATGTGAGTTCAATCATGGCTGTCGAAAATCTGTTTTAGTTGTATTTCAGTTGAAACTCTTAACGTCTGAAAATCAAAGTAATTGGCATGAAAACAGAACTTTATATAACAATGATCTCTGGATTACTCCAAAAAAGAAGAAGAAGAAGAAAACGAAGGAGAAGAAGGAGGAGGAGAAAGGGTGCGAAAGTTATTTATAAAATGGGTACAAGTTAAATTTTAAAAAAAAACTGGATATAGGTTAAGTGAGACGACCAAATAGGACGCCTCGTGCTATTTTTACCGTAAAATGCCAGTTTTCTGGTATTGCTTGTTTCTTATATTTCAGAGATGATGAGCACCTGAAACAAACACTGAAGAACGGTCAAAGAAATCAAAGTGTAAAAATGGAGGAGATCGAAGAGCTGTCTTCATTGCATGCGTAGCTTAAGAAGTTGAAAGTCGACGTCGTATCTAAGATACACTAATTAAATAAGAATAGAGTTTTTTTCTTCCTAATTCAATAAAGTTATTTGGTCAAGGCTCAAATTTTCATACAGTTCACATTCTTCTAACTTCTTCCAATTATATTCTGAAATTGATGTTTTCATGCTAAATTTTAAAGAAAAAGAATATACTCCGTCCGTTCATTTTTGCTTACACGTTTTAACTTTTCACGTCCTTTAAGAAATAATAAATAAAATACATAATTTACCATGATACCCATATTAATTGATGTATATATATTTTATTGGATTTAAAAAAATAATTTGAAATGAGTAATAAATATTGTGAATATAACAAAAAAAATTATCTTCTCTTGCTATGCGTAAAGTGACAAGTAAAAATAAAAATTTATTATTAGTATACCAGCCAAGTACTCCCTCCATTCACTTTTACTTGGCACGTTTTAGCTTTTCACGCTTCTTATTAAATAATAAATGAAGTGCATAATTTACCATGATACCCATATTAATTGATGGATATTTTATTGGATTTAAGAAAATAATTTGAAATGAGTAATAAATATTGTGGGTATAACAGGAAATAAAAATTTGTCTTCTCTTGATATGTGTAAAGTGTCAAGTAAAAATAAAAATTTATTTTTAGTATACATATCAAGTAAAAATGAACGGGGAGTATATACTTAAGCAATCCTAGATCGACTTTTTCTAAGTTCACATCGGTAAAAGGAGGAGTGTAAAATTAGCAAATTCAAAAAGTTAGTGCAAGACTCATATGAGAAAATATTCGAGTCTCATATAATATCTTCAGAGGTATATACGGAAAACCTCATTTTCCTCTACATCAAGGGGGAAAAAGGTAATCAACGAATTATTCTAATATTTTAACTTCCATGTAATTTTATTTACTTTAATAGACTTCACTTTGACTTACTGACTTCACTTTCACATTGATTTAGCATATATGTATATTATGATAAGAATTTATCCGCACTAAATACTTATATCACAACATATTATTTTATCATGGTTAATAATTTGATGAGGTTAGGTTTATATCAGGGGCAAACCGACGAGCTATGGCCTAAAGTTAAATTTTATGAGCGGTCTTAACTTTATTTATAAAAAAACTATTTATTTATTTATTTATTTGAAGTCTATTTTTCTAGCGTTGCTTAGATACTGTTTTTAAAATGTCTACGTTTCGATCCCTTAATTACCTCTTTTAGCATCACATCGATTTGCGTACACAGTCCGCGCGCGTAGCCGGAAAGCCTATATGTGAAAATCTGTGAAAAATGATAAATTTTGACTATAAAATGAATTAATTTGACTTCGGTCAACATTTTGGGTAAACGGACCCGGACCCATGATTTGACAGTCCCTGAAGGTCCGTGGGAAAATATGAGACTTGGGCGTATGCCCGGAATCGAATTCCGAGGTCCCAAGCCCGAGAAATGAATTTTTTGAAGAAAATTATTTTCTGAAATTATTTATAAGGTTTGGAAATGAATTTTGATTAAAACTTGATAGTATCGAGCCCGTATTTCGGTTTCGGCGCCCGGTACAGGTCTTATATGTGACTTAAGCCTGTGAAGTTTGGTAAGAAACGGAATCCATTTGACGTGATTCGGATCTTAAATGCAAAATTTGATGTTTAAAGAAGTTTTGAGAAATTTCATTGATTTTGAGGTTTAATTCGATGTTCATGATGTTATTTTGGTGATTTGATTATACAAATAAGTCCGAAAGATGTTTTTGAGGTTGTGTGTATATTTGGTTTGGAGCCCCGAGGGCTCGGGTGAGTTTTGGATAAGCCACGGGGTGCATTTCGGACTTAGAAAATTGCAGGTTTTTCAGCTGTGCATAGCTCGCAAATGCGAGCGGCTTGTCGCAATTGTGAAATAAGCCCAGACCAGCTCCCTCTCGCAAATGCGAGACAATCTTCGCAAATGCGAAGTTTCCCAATTTGGCCAGTGATCGCAAATGCGAGCCTCCCTTCGCATTTTCCAACCCAGCAGAGGTCAGGGTTCGCAATTGCGAACCCCTGTTCGCAATTCCCACGTCTGCAACCTGCAACTTTTATACTTAGACGATTTTTAACCCATTTTTCACATCTTTTCAAAACACAAACTCCCTAGGGCGATTTTTCAAGAACAACTCTTCTTCCAAATCGATTGTAAGTTATTTTAACTCATTTTCTTCAATCATTAACATCTTTTAACATGATTTCAACTCAAAATCAATGATTTTCATGGGGGAAATTGGGTGTTTTGGGTAGAACCTAGATTTTTTCAAAAATTGGGGATTTAGACCTCGATTTGAGGTCCGATTCCAAAACAAATTATTTATTTGTGATTATTGTTTGTTTGTAACTGGGATCGGGTGGCACGCCTGCCACGAGATAATTGAAATGGGAGCGGGTGGAATGCCTGCCACGAGATAATTAAAATGGGAGCGGGTGGCACGCCAGCCACGCAATAATTGAAATGGAAGCGGGTGGCACGCCTGCTACAAGATATTTGAAAAGGGAGCGTGTAGCACGCCTACCACAAGATATTTGAAAAGGGAGCGTGTGGCACGCCTGCCACAAGATATTTAAAATGGGAGCGGGTGGCACGCCTGCCACAAGATACATGAAATGGGAGCAGGTGGCGCGCCTGCCACAAGATATGTGAAATGGGATCGGGTTGCACGCATGCAACGAGGTAAATGAAATGGGATCGGGTTGCACACCTGCAACAAAATATGAATGAAAGTGAAATATACCTTTGTTTTCCTTATTCTTGTTAGTAGTTGGATTTTGGTTCCTTTATAATTCTCTTGATATTCTGTTTTTACCTGTTATTCCCTGAAGCATATTTTCCCCCTCCCACCTTTATTTGTTTATTTCTGCTTTACTTTTCGCTGTATATTATATAACTGTACAGGTTTATTTGGTGGTCTTGTTCTAGA